GCATGGACGAGTTGTCAGAAGCTGACAAGCTTACCGTCGAGCGTGCCCGTAAGATCCAGCGTTTCCTGAGCCAGCCTTTCGCTGTCGCCCAGGTCTTCACTGGTATTGAGGGCAAGCTTGTCGACCTCAAGGAGACCATCAACTCGTTCAAGGCTATCCTGTCCGGTGAGGGTGATGACCTTCCCGAGGGTACGTTATTCCACGATCTGCAACCATAAATTCAAGTTGAGCTAACAATTACAGGTGCTTTCTACATGGTTGGTGACTTCGCTTCCGCTCGCGCCAAGGGAGAGAAGATTCTCGCTGATCTCGAGAAGTCATAGACGGACTTTTGTGGTGGGTGAAGAGTCGGCCGTTGTGTCTAGAGCAGTTCGCTGGTAGTCTCACTTTGTACAAAAGATATACATCCGAAAATTCGGGATTATGAGCGAATGTTTTGACATGCGGCTTCCTGTAGTCTATCTTAGATGAAGAATCAGCATTTCTTGTTCAACCAATGATGTTTTCAGCCTAACTATTATCAATGCTGCTCGTGCCTTTCCTATTTTCCATTTCCGTTGACCTCGATAAGGAAAAGGGTCGTCACCAAGGGCCGTCACCAAGGGCAATGTGCACGCTGTCCATATTCACTGGACTGGCTAGTCGATTTTATCGGTCTCAACTCCTTCCTGAATGGTCAAGCGTCATGGTTGAACGGCTGCATCAATACGCTGAACTTTCCTGATTACGTCATGCGTACAGTGACTACGAAGTGCACGAAGACAAGGAAGGCTTGGATGATAGCCAGCCAGAAAATTGATTCAATGTATCTATGGGCTCCAAGGTCAAAACGTTGCTCGCCTCGCTGGAAGAATGCCTTTTTGATCACCGTATACTGCCGTGAAGGTCACATTCGCATGACGTGATCAAGAAAGTTCAGGGTGTCGCTTCACTGGACAGCGGGAGCGTCAACTCCCAGCCCGCCTTAGGCGGGCTATCGTTACTGCTTATATTCTAGAACAATATTACTCAAGGTAACTTTAGCTAGGTGCGTATTATAGCTTCAAAGCGTTATTTAAGGTAGTTAACTATAACTTCATACCTATTACTACTTATCGTGCTAGGCGGAGTTAAGGAAGAAAGGAAAATAGCAGAGACTCGGGAGGGCCATTTTATGTCTCGCAGTTGGTAGTTCTGTTACCACGGTGACTTCAACGTTCTTTCTGGCCTTTCGTCTTAAACACAACACCGCACATCCTCGATCGAGACAGATTTGGAAATTCGCTTAAATTGTCATCCCTATATTCGGTATATTAATATATTCTTATAGCACACGTCTTTGTATTACTTCTCCATCTACTTTGTTAAGAAATCTAACATGTGTAATCGTGCCTATGTAGAACTAATTCTAAAACCTGCATAATTCAATTATGTATTATCTTGACTTTGAATCTCTCCATCTAAGAAAGAAAAGAAATGCCTTCTCTTTAAAGAACAGTTTAGTACCAACCCTAATTCCTTTTCAATTTTTTAAATTGTTTGTCGCATATATATTCCATGCAACTCTAGAGACCACTATACAGAATCCTGCGGCTTTTTAGGCCGCGTGGAGTAGTGAAGCAGAGCTGTCGTCTTACACTATTATAGTAAGATTAGGCTTGTTATATTACACTTTAGTATCTAAGCATAATATATATTTATATGTATACTTTCATCATATAGAGTTTTGAATACATCCTGGACAAACCCAAGCCTAGCAAAAAGAAGGGAGATGAGGCATTCCCGGGAATGCACCCATACCTCCTGGAGAAAGCTATCAACCTGGTACCATCGAACAAGAAGGCATGGAAGTGTCATACCGTGCATATTTCTGAGGCAGGAGCTGGTTTTGATGCATATATGGATACAGCCTTTAAGTCATGCCCACTTTGCAAGACACCCCGATACTCCAAAGGGGCTGACTGGGCGACAACAATGGACTTTGCATTTGGCTCAAAGATAGTTGTCCTTCAGCTGAATCACGATGTCAAAAGAACTGGAAAAACCCTTACCTAGGAGGGGCTTCCTAAGATGACTAGGTTTAAGGACGAAACCAGCAATAAGATAACCCTTTACGTAAGGGATACCATTCGTGACAGCTTACTCGATATTCCAAGAGCGCAGGTCCTAGAGGAATACCCCAAGGACCTTGAAAACACCATGGAAGAATATCTGAAGTCAATTTCAAGATTCAGCGCAACCCCTTAGAAAGAGGGTTCTAAGAGAATACCCCAAGAACCATGAAAAGGCCATGGGAGAACACCACAAAACAGCGTCCAGGTTCAACACAACTCCGAAAAAAGGTCCGACAATTACGATAGAGAAGGAGGAGACTAAGAAGCCAAGGCAAAGGCTCTCACACTAAAAAAATAAGACTCCGCCAGTAGATCCCGAGACGACTGCACTAGCCAGAAAAAAGGCCAGAGTAGACGCGAATGAAATTCCGGATGAAATGCAAGCCTACATGAATGCCACAATCAATCAGATAGTGGCAGACAGGTTAAGTTCAATTTTTTGGACGTCAGACTAGGAGACTAGTGCAGCGGACGAATACCATCCTTAGGAAGAGGAGGAGTGAAATACCTCCGACAGGTTGAAGACGATTCTGTCAACGTCAAACTCGGAGACTAGTGCAGCTGGCGAAGACCAGCCTCAGGAAGAGGAGGAGTGAAATACCTCCAACACTAGTTTAGGTAAACTAGACGGCAGTGGATTATATTATATACAATTCCTAGTAGGTAGAAATTAATAGTGTTCTTGTACTTCTAGGTACCTACTAAACTTGCTGAAAAATCTATTTACATTAGCAATTCTTTGCTAAAAATACTTCATTTTTATATAAAGATATTTTCATACCTATATTTCAATCTATCTTCGAATTTGCAATTAATTCATATATTTATGTAGCGAAGAGTACAGACTAATTCCTAGATATAGTTCTTGAATTATCTATAGGTAGAGTGAAACGAAGAAAAATAATCAAAGTTTAGCTTTTAATAATCAAATACTTATAACGAAGTTACATGCCTATATATAGTAAAATTCTCTTCGTGAAATACAACCTTATCGAGATACTTGGTTTAAAAACACAATGTGTACATATGATGCTAGTTTCGGTACGGAAAAAATCTAGATTGTAAGAAATCCTAGTACCAACACACACACACACAATTTAAACTTTAGTATCAAAGAAATTTGTATTTGCGCTGTATCAAGAAATTCGCACTGAAATCATCCATGATTCTAGTCATCGCACTCTGCTCCCATCTTAACCTTTGTGGGTAGTTCCATGGCTGCCATTATAGATGTCCGGTTTTGTGGCATAATGTAAATGATGTCTCCTGCATTACACACAATGCATTGTGGAGATATTCTTTTCACCTCTTTTCAATTCCCTCCAGCACTCCACTGAGACACGAACAACGCCCGGTTTCTTTGACTTCCTGTTGTTTGATCAATAGCAACAATGGCAGTCAGCACATTAGAATGTAAAATTGGGCAAAGAAGTTTGCCTTTTACACAGATTTGATTAGGAAATGATGGTTGAAAAAAGACGCCATGATTCTCTTCATCGTCCTGTCCCACAGGTGCCGATATTTCCACAATTCTTTTCGACAATATTTCCGCACAGCACTTTTGGCATCAGTATACGAATTGACAACAAAGATTGCGACATGGCGAGAGAGAGTCCAGAACAACGAAAACAGCGCCTCATAGCCAACGGCATCAGCAAAAAATGGGACATCAAGCGGCGAAGCAGACGGCCTCGGGGTATCACAAACACTGGCAACAACTGCTACCGTAATGCAACACTACAGCCATTCTGTCACTTTCCCCGCTTCGTGAATTAGATCAAGCAACACAAGTCTGGCGGCGGAAAATGGCCTTGCAATCCCAATGATAGAAATCGAAACCTTGACTGCCTCGATGCCATGACGCGGGGCATTCTTCGAAACGAAAGCTACAAGAACATGACTTTGAGACAGAGATCTGCTTATGATGAAAATCTCAACAGCGGCACAATTCGACCTTCAGATGTGAAAAGCATGACCCTAAACATTACAGCGGATGCCTTCCTTGTCTGCTGAAGGCGGTTGTTAAAGACTATTGGAGTAATGACCTGGTCGACAACACTGCGCCGTACCATCTCCAACCTTTTCTGTATAGCCACGATTCAGTGTTTAAACTGTACCAATTTTTCCAGTGCCAATTTTGCGAAAACCCAGATAGATTACCGCGGGACACTACGTCGCTGGTGTTAGTGGGGTAAAGATGCCAGGGCAGAAGCCGCCGCTGCCGCCGCTTTTTTTGGTGGATGATGGCGTGGTGAGAGGGTGGCATGTGAGGGATGGGGGGACGAGGAATGTTATGGCGAGGAATCCTGTTCATCCTGGGTCAGGCAGGTTCGATGCGGTGGCGGTTTGGTATGAGATTGTGGCGGGTGCGAGGGATAGGTTGCCGAAGGGGGGTTTCGGCGGCGGATAGGCTGTGTGTGGAGGAGGGGAGACGGATCGTGGGGGTGTTAGGGAGGGGGAAGGGGAGTTCGTAATAGGAATGGAATAGGTTTGCTGGTGGGATGTGAGGAATTTTGAAGGTAGTAAGGGTTTGAAGTCGGTTTTAGCATGTTGAGATGAAATAGAAAGAGGCGTTTGAAGTATCAAACTCTAGACGAAGAATGCATTTTCATATCCTGAGAGTTGGGGGGAACAAATAGTACAAAGTATTTTACCACAATTGGCCCAGCCATTCCACCAAAGATGAGATACTGCTTTTGTTGCCGAGTTCCCCCAAAGAGAATGGAACAGGAATGCAACACTGAAAAGAGAAACAACGAGCAAAGTAACCTGAGCACTTCCATCCAACCCATCCAACCCACGAAACTTCTTTATCCACCCCAGATCCCCTCGTCCATCTCTCCTAAGTCTCAAACTCTGGAAAAACGGGGTATAAATAATCATACAAATTTCCCTTCCCCTTGCCATCTACGACTTCCCCTCCCCCTTCAAAAAGATCCCCCACCTCCTCCTTAAGACCTCCCAACTCTCCCTTACATCCCTCCCCTTTTCCCTCTCCTCGCGCTGAATCCGTGTTGCAGCAGCGGCGAGACCGATTGAGATTGCGAAGAGGGGATCAAGGCGCCTGAACAGTTAGTATGTGTGAGCGGAGCGAAGTACAGTGTTTTTATTTTCTCGGAATATTTATCCAAGGAGGAGGAAGAGGGAGGCATACTTTGATATTATATATTGGGCCGGCATAGCTCTCTCTCTCTCTTTGTGCTTTTCGCACTTTTTTTCCAAATTTCAAAGTTCGTGTACACAGGCAACAAAACAGGCGTTGAAAACTGCCCAAGTCGTACAAGCGTCTAGATTAAAGGTCCAAGCTCTGGACAGCCTCTTTGGGTTGATGTAGTAAGTAAGTTATTTTAAACTTCCTCTCTTCTTTTGCCAGGTCGGGGTTCAAGTAAGGAATCTTTTCCAAAGATTCCCCACCGCCGGTCGGCCGGCCCCTGCATTTGGGCCAGTGGGGTCCGTGCGCGGGGACCGGCTTCTGGAGCCCTTTTTGCTTTTCCCCACGATTCGCCGGTTCCGGGCGATACGTTATGCAAGGCACTAGAAGGGCTAATGTTGCATGGAAACTCCCCTTTCCTTGTAAGGCGGCTGTTCCATGTTGGATTTGCATGCTTCTCGCCTGGATATGTACAGAGTGTGGCTATGCTGGTGGCGGGGTTGCAGTGGCACGCGGTTGCTTATCAGGTGAACGATGTCGTCATGTGGGTTTCAGGCAACGGCCGGATGAGCCGCAAGTCAGGCTGCTTTGTCAGGTACGCATAGTCAGGCACCTTGACGGGAATATACAAGACAATGTCGCAGAGCATAAACAGGTGCATCAAGTCGTGACAGATTAGGTCTGGTGCATTTGGACTAAAGCTGAATCATCGAATTATACAGGCATCTTGTGAAAAGAAGCCAAATCTGCCCAAACACCTCTCTCCGAAACGGCGAATCTTGCTTGTACAGATACGACTTGTCGTCGTGCCTTTCCGCGTTGGCTTAGCTGTATCGGACCTCGCAGGCTCTGGTGAAGATTGACTGGCCCAGGGTGCTGCGAGGGTTGCCGTTGCACCAGCCGTCTGCCATCAAATCAATCAATCATCCTAACGGTATACTGTTGCGTGAATATCAAGAAACCCATGATCCGAAAACGCCCGAGTTCGCCGCAGCCTCAACAGCCGATAGATAAGGGGAATGTGAGGATGGAGCGAGCCCCTTACAGAGCCTCGCCAAACGTGTTCTCGCCTGAGTACCTGTCGTCTTGTTAGCAGTGCGTTCTGATCGGAGACGTTGGGAGGCAACATACGTAATGTACAGGAAACCGTCCTCATCCTTGTGCTCCTCGTATATCGAGCTCATCAGAGCGGCAGTGGGTGGCAGGACCTCATCGACGAAGATGAAGATGGCCTTTTCGGGTGAAAGCTTGATGCGCTTGCGGATCACGTAGACAAACTGGCCTACGGTCAAGTCGGCGGGTACCAAGTACTTCTTCTTATCGATGGTTGCAATGTCAGACTTCTCGACCTTCTCGCAGATGACCTGGGCGCTGTTAGCTGACATGTCACAGTTCGGGAGGCAGCGATGTCTACGTACGGGAATGCGGTCGTTGTACTTCTGGCGAATGCGCTCGGCCTCGGCCTTGCGCTTCTCAAACGGGTGCTCGTCCTTGAACTTGGAACGCATGGTGGGGATTTGTGAGCGGTGTTTGGATGTGTTTGTGTTTGTGTTTGTGTTTGTGTGTGGGGGGATGGAGGGCTATATGTGTGGTTTCGCAAAGGGCGTAGAGTCGTGGGAGTGGTGAGGTTGAGCGTGGCGGAGGAGGAAGTAGGACGGAGGGCGTAGGTGCGGTGTGGGAACCTTAAGCACAGGCAGCAGAGCGGGGCTAATACCTGCGCATCACTCCCGCCTTACCTAACCAACGCCAGCAGCCGCCGAGGTCACTGGTCACTGGCCACCACGCACCCGACCAGCATCTCACCTACCAGTCAAGTGAGCCTCCGTCCATACACACATCCACACAGACATACGTATATACCTGCACACTTACTACACAAAACCACTGCCCCTGAGCCATGACAACATCGCCCTCTTGCTGCTGCTCAAGCCGGGGCGTGACTCGGCTGGATGGCAGTGCTGACCGCCTCGCCCCAGCCCAGTCACTTGCTCGGCTCCCATGACCTGGCTACCTGGGTACTTTGACTCATCCCGTCTCTCTCCTTCACGCTCTCCATCTCTCTCGCGCAAGGCGGCCATCGCCATGTACAGTACGGCAATGAGCCATCTCGTCGCCACATCAGAGTCGATTGCTATGTGAAGCAGCCGGCAGCCAGGTGGACGCGTTTGTCGTCGCGTTGGCGGCCATGCCGGCCTAGCACGCCCACCTGTTGCCACTCACAGCGACGTGTCCGTCCCAGCACTGGACACCACGAAGCACTAAGAAGTGCTTCTTTCCCAGGTGTCCCAGGACGTCATGCAAGCCAACGTCCATCTGCTCCTCCGCAGCGACAGGGTGCTTGCCAGCAACGTAGCAGACGCAGACGTAGACGTATCTATGATGCAGGGCGCCACCCGCCCTTCACTCTCGAGACGTGAGCAGTACGCAGGGACTGAGCGCAAGCGCCCGAGTATCGCCGGCCAGGTCGTGCTCGTACTTGTGCCGGAGACGTGTTTGTCGTGTTTGCACCATGCAGGTACCGATACCGCTAGTACCGACGAAACTCCACCGAAGATGCGCCCACCATGGTGTGATTCCCCGAGAAGTCAGCACCGAGGTTGACTGTGCTTACAGTTTTCTAATATAGCCTAATTCATCCTCTCTTTTGCTGCTTCATGGTCCAACTGTAATTGACCTGCAACCATCCTGTCCCCCGCTATGCGTCCGTTCCGGCCCTTGTTCCGCGTCTCTCGCGCGCTCGAGCTTCCCCACAACTACACATCACAGCGCACCCTGCGCACAAGTCAGATATCCAGTAGGCAGCTACACTCCTCTCAGAGTCGCCGTGTCCATCTCCCTCGAAGCATCAAACCAGAGAAGCCGGATCCTCTAGAGGAATGGCGGAATCCCGAACCCAGCAAATGGCCGAACCGGATAAGACTGCTCCTTGTGCCATTCATCGGAGCTCTGGTCTACTCTATGGTAAGCCCATAATTCAATACACATCCCTTTGAAAATACCCCTACTAATCCATTCCACAGTGGACAGATGACACAATCAAGACCGAAACACCCACAATTGCCGAGAAAGACGCTCTCCTCAAGCGCGAAAATGGCGTATCCGAACAATCCCCCATGCGCCTTCGAATGGAGCAATTCATAAAGCAGCATCAAAAACAAATCGTCGCCGAGCTCGAAAAGGTCGATGGCACAAAATTCAAAATCGACACATGGCAACGTCCGGAAGGCGGCGGCGGCATAACCTGCGTCCTCCAAGACGGCAACGTCTTCGAAAAAGGCGGCGTAAACACCTCCGTCGTCTACGGCCGGCTCCCCCGCGCTGCCATACAAAAAATGCGCGTAAACCACAAAGCCCTCGACCCAGATGTCGACTCGCTCGCCTTCTTTGCCGCCGGCCTCTCCATGGTGCTGCACCCGCACAACCCCAACGCCCCAACCGTGCACCTCAACTACCGCTACTTCGAAACTGCCGACGACCACGGCAACACAACCGCATGGTGGTACGGCGGCGGCTGCGACCTCACGCCCTCGTACCTCTACGACGAAGACGCCATCCTCTTCCACAACACCATCAAACACGCCTGCGACAAGCATGACAAAGCATACTACCCGCGCTTCAAAAAATGGTGCGACGAATACTTCAACAACAAACACCGCGGCGAAACCCGCGGCGTCGGCGGCATCTTCTTCGACGACCTCGACGAAACAGAAAAAGACCAGGAGCAACTCTTCTCGTTTGTCCAGGATTGCCTCACCGCGTTCTTGCCCTCGTACATCCCCATTATCAATCGCAGAAAGGATATGCCCTTCACCCCCGAGATGAAGCAGTGGCAGCAGATTCGCCGCGGACGTTATGTAGAGTTTAACCTTGTGCATGATAGGGGCACCGCGTTTGGACTTAATACTCCCGGGGCGCGCGTCGAGAGTATCCTCATGAGCTTGCCGCTTACGGCCCGCTGGCAGTATATGCATGCGCCTGAAAAGGGGAGTAGGGAGGAACGGTTGCTTGAGGTGTTGAGGAAGCCCAAGGAGTGGGTCTAAGTACTTGTACATCATACTAGTGCAGGAGGAACAAAGACATTCCAAACAGCCGAGTCCAGATGACGAGTAAAAAAAGTTAACCAAATACAAACTGTTGTGAAACTTTTCGATTGAATCCAGAGCTTATACTTTTACATGCTTCATCCTAGTTTAAAGTTTTTTGTTTTGGGAGAAAAGAAGGAGGATAGAGAGACAACAACAACACGAGACGAGACACGAGCACAAACACACACACACATGACTGTGACGAAATAGTCCCCCCTTATCATCATCATCAACAACAACATCCCTTAACCCCTAGGATCATGTCTCCACCCATGCAGTCCACTCAATCTACTCCCCATACCTCCTAACCCGCCACTTCCTTCTCCACCTCCACCGCCAGCACCAGTACCACCCCCACTAGTACTTCCAAACCCACCCGTACCCGACGCAAACCCACTCCTGCCTCCACTCCCCCCATTAAGCAACTTGTCAAACTGCTCCACACTCACAACCGCCCGTTGCTTAACATCCAGATCCATATCGCGACTCAACTGCTTGGCTCCCTCTTCGAACCCGAGCTGGCGGAGACTGAGGGCGCGTTCGCGCGTCGCCGCTTCATCCGTGTGGTCTTCGACCCAGACAAGGTTGTGCAGCATCCAGGCGCAAGCGACGCGCATGTCGCGCCGGGGATGCGTGAATAGCGGGAGCACGTGTTGCATCAGCGCTGTCTGGGAGATGAGTAGGGAGCGGTGCTGGGGGCGGCCGTTGGCGAGGTGGATGAGGATGAAGATTGTGGCCAGCATGAGCTCAGAGGCTGGGTAGCTCGTCCAGTTGGGTTGGCCCATGGGCGTTGTGGCGGACAAAAAGGGCGGGCGGTGGGTGCCGCTGGG